GTGTGTGTGTGTGTGTGTGTGTGTGTAAACATATATATATATATATATATATATATATATATATATATATATATATATATATGTGTATGTATATATACATATATGCATACACACACACACACACACACATGTGTGTGTGTGTGTAGATATATATATATATATACATATGTATATATATATGTGTGTGTGTGTGTATATATATATATATATATATATATATATATATATATATATATATGTATGTATATATACATATATGCATACACACACACACACACACACACACACACACATATATATATATATATATATATATATATATATATATATATATATATATATATATAAATGTATATGTATATATATATATATATATATATATATATATATATATATATATATATATATAAATGTATATATATATATACATATAAATATATATATATATATATATATATATATATATATATATATATATATAAATGTATATATATATAAATGTGTATGTATATATATATATATATATATATATATATATATATATATATATATGTATGTATGTGTGTGTGAGTGTGTGTGTGTGTAAACTATACATGTACACATACTTATACACGAACTACTTATATATTCATATATATGTATATCTATCTATATCTCTCTCTACCTACCTATCTATCCATATAGCTACCAATCTATCTACCTCCCCATAGATGTAAACCAACACGAAAGCGAATCAGCGTGTGGGTCTCGTTACCAGCATCCCCTACGCAGACCTCCCGACGCGCACATTCCTGGTCTCTTTCTTTAACTTCCGGTCTCGGTCGGGTCTCTGTAGAGGCGGTTGAGGACTGAGGTCTTGCGATTTCCTTCGTCTCCTTTGGTATAGTAGTACGTGACTAGTGGGTGTTTTGGGGGTTTGTGCACAAGGGTAAGTAGCTTTTCGATAAATCTCTGTAAATTCCTTAGTTTTTTTTTGTTTTGTTTTTGCTGCTAAAAATGCTGGAGATCCCTTTGCCTTAGTGAAAGGTTGCGCTTGGCGATAAATCCCGTATATATATGCCCTTGAAAAATAAATTCTGGTGTATATTGACATCTTTCCATAACGGTCGCGAGTTAACACACACACACACACACACATATATATGAAATATATATATGAAAAAAATATTTATGTGTGTGTGTGTGTGTGTGTGTATGTGTGACCAGGCCGATGAGCGGTAGTTCAAGCAAGTCGCGTCTGGCACGATGCCGTAATCTTGGGAACTGGTTAAGGTATAACAGACTTCTCGTTCATTTGCACCAGTTTATTGTGGTGAGAGATGATACATCGGACGGACAAAGGTTCGGTCCGGTCAGCGTGCTATAGACTCTTTTATACAGGTCGGACTAGGAAATTGACAAGGGTTGCGATTGATTAGGATGTGTGAAGGAAAGGATGTGACCGTGTATACGGAGTGACGTGACGAGGCGGAAGGCCTGCGGATGTCGCATCCGCTGTCGTGTCGAGCAGAGATTTAGTATGTAGAGGCTAGTGCTACTCTATTAAATATATATTTCTAAATTTATAAATATATATTTACAAGTGTTATAGTGTTATAGTAGAATAAGGGAAGGAGTCTGCTACGATTGACCCCAAGGGAGTCCTTTAGGGTTATGGGATGCTATGGGAAAATGGTTGCGATTCCTTAGTGGGCCTCCCTGGGGAGAGATTTGGTGCATGTTGAAATGGGCAATGTGTGAAATGGCTCTTACAGTGTGTATGTGTATGTGTGTGTGTACATATACATTTTTTCACCACCGGCAGGACGCTGGTCCTTTAATTATTAAGTTGCTCGGGATCGATAACAAATATTCTCTAAGGAACCTTGAATATACTTAGCACCCGCTGTTACAACTCATGATAGGAGTAAAGCAAATGAAATAATCAAATAGATTTATATATACATAACACAGGCATATGAAACTACATATCCTTGTACATGGTACATAATATTTACATAGATCCATATACAACTAAAGTACATAAATCGGGAAATCATATAATCCTCAACATAGTATTTACAAATCTGACTCTTTAATTCTAAAATGTCTAATATCTATAATACACCTCTTTCTTTTATTTATATTTTTAGAGGTCGAGGTTTTGGGAAATAATTGTTTCACTCTGCGATCCCATGAACTCACGGGGGGAAGGGACAGCATATCCCTCCCTCCCTCCTCCTCCTCCTCTTCCCCCTCCTCCTCCTCCTCCCCCTCCCCCTCCTCCTCCTCCTCCTCCTCCTCCTCCTCCCCCTCCTTCTCCTCCTCCTCTCCTCCTCCTCCTCCTCCTCCTCCTCCTCCTCCTCCTCTCCTTTCACTTCCGTCTCGTCCTCCTCTTCTTTCACCTCCTTCTCCAGCTCCACCACCTCCTCCTCTCCTTCTCCTACTCCGCTTTCTCCAAAACCTCCTCCTCTTCCTCCTCCTCTTCCTTTCTTTTTTCACCTCCTCCTACTTTCCTCTCCTCCCCCCTCTCCCTCTTCTTTCTTATCATCTTCCTCCTCCTCCTCATCATCATCATTATCATCATTATCGTCTTCCTCCCTCCTCATTATCATTATCCTCCTCCTCCTCCTTCTCCTCATTATCATCATCACCATCATTATCCTCCTTCTCCTCTTCCTTATTATCATCATCATTATCCTTCTCCTGTTCCTCCTCATTATCATTATTATCATCACCATCATCTTCCTCCTCCTCCTCCCTTTCCTCATTTTTGTCATCATCATTATCCTTCTCATCCTCATTATCATCCTCCTCTCCTCCTTCTTCATCCTCCTCTTCTCATTATCATCTTCCTTTCATCATTATCATCTTCCTCTTCCTCCCCTCCCTTTATCATCTTCACCATCATTATGTTTATCTTCCTCCTCCTCCTCCTCATTATCATCATCATTATCCTCTTTATTAATATCATCATTATCTTCTCCCCTCCTTCTCCAAATCATCATCATCCTCTTCATCATCTTTATCTTTCTTTTCCTCCTCTTCGTCATCATTATCTTTATCCCTGCCTCCTCCTCCACCTTATTATAATTATCATCATCATCACCATAATCTTTCTCCTCCTCCTCCTCATCATCATCATCTTATCTTATTGGTGTATTTCTATTATTGTTATTGTTGTTGTTGTTGTTATCATTATTATTTTTGTTATTATTATTATTATTATTATTATTATTATTATTATTATTATTATTATTATTATTATTATTATTATTATTATTATTATTATTATTATTATTATTATTATTATTTATATAATTATTATTATTATCATTATTATTATTATTATTATTATTATTATTATTACTATTATTATTACTACTACTACTGCTACTATCATTAATATTAGTAGTAGTAGTAGTACTGACATTATCATTATCATTATCATTATTATTATTATTATTGATATTATTATCATTATTTCTATTATCATTTTTTTATTACAATCATTTATATCATTATCATCCTTATGATGATGATATTTATTATCATTAATTATAATTGTTGCTATTACTATCCTTATTATTCATATCACTATTATTGCTATTATCATTATCATAGTTATCATTATCAATATTATCACTGTTATTGTTATTGTTCTCATTATTATCATTACTATTACTATTCTGTTGCTATTATCATTATCATTATTATTTTTTTCTTTTTTGGGTATTATCCTTATCATAAGCATTGTTATTGTCATCATAGTTATTATCATAATTGTTACTTTTATAATTGTTATTCTTATCATTATGATTCTTATTGTTATTATTATCATTAATTGTTATTGTTATTATTATCATTATCATTATTATTATTATTATTATTATTATTATCATTATTATTACTATCATTATCATTATTATTATTACCATTGTCATTATTGTCATTATCATTACCATTATCATTATTATTATAGTTATTATTATTGTCATTAGTATAATTATCATCATTTTGATATTGTAATTACTATTATTATTATTACTATTATTGATGTTATTAGTAACGGTATCATAATTATCAGTATTATTATAATTATCATCATTTTCTCATTATCATTGGTAATAGTATCATTATTAGTAGTGGTAGTAATGGTATTTCCAACATTATTATTACTCTTAATACGTTCATCATGATCATGATCATCATCAATGGTGTTGTTATCATTGTTAATATCTTTCTATAAGACTTAATTACTATTATTACTGTTATTCTTATCACTGTTATCATCATCATCATGCTTATCATCATTATCATCAATATTATCCTTATCATTTTCATTTTCGTTACCATTATTATTATCATAATTATTATTATTAAAATTATTATCATAATATACATTATTATTATCAACATTATCCTTACTTACTACCATTATCATTATTGATATCATTATTATTACTATTATCATTATTATGATTATCGTCATTATTGCTATTATCATTACTATTATAACTATTAATAATGATTTTCATCATTATTGCTAATATCGTAATTATTATTATCACCATTATTATCATCACTACTATAACTATTAGTAATGATTTTCATCTTTATTGCTAATATCGTCATTATTATTATCACCATTATTATTACTATTGCTATCATAATCACTGTTGCTATTATCATCATAAATGTTATTGATATTATAATTATTCTTTCCATGATCAGGCCTATTGCTTCATTTTCTATTCATTATTATGGTTATCATCATTATCAATATTACTTTTGTTATCATCATTATCAACATTACTTTTGTTATCATTAGCATAACTTTTACCATTATCATTATAATAATACATTAATATTACAAATATAATTATAATAGTGATAATCATTAGTTGCATAATCAAGTAGTAATATCACTTTTATATTTATGATCATTACCAATATCATCATTATCTTTTATCATTATGCAATATGTATTTTAAAGGTTTCACTTTAAACATTGTTAACTGTTTACACATTTATTAACAAATCTTACAAAAAAAAATACATTACTTTTGTTTTGTACAAAAAATGTGAAAATAGCACCATTGTTTTATTATTATTATTCATTTGCATTTCTGGTTTTAATTGAACCACTGGCATTTTCTGTAGTAATCTCTCTTTACCATTGTGTTATTTAAACTCCATTTTAAACTCTAAAACACGGTTTTATAGTGGCTTTTGTTTCTAGCGGTTTCACTGTCTCTTGTTATTTCACAACACGGTTTCATATCATCTCTAAATTTTCAGTTTTATTTCGTCTTTTGTTTCTTCTCGGTCGTGTTTTGGTTCTTTTGCCTCTTCTTCCTGTCTCCCTCCTGGCGTGAGGACGCTAGCATCATGGTCGTGAAAGCCTGACATTTCTTCAGCGCCGATTTCCATAGTTTCGTGTTTTTCAGCGGCGACAGAATCTCGAGGTACCTCTCCATAGCCTCCAGCGTGGATAAGAACGATCCATCCTTTTCCGTCTTCCGTAATCTGTAACAGAGGAAGTCGATGGGCGGGATGTTCCATTCGGTGTAACGATGTGGTCTTCTGGAGTTCTTCTTGCACATCTCGACGGAGCTGAGGGTGCGTTGCAGGTCCTTGCAGCTGGCGATGATCTCGTCGCACTTCTCGCATTTCAACTGACCGAAGAACATATGGTGACAGGCATCCTCGCCTTCGACAGTCTCGTAGCACGTGAGACACTGCACCGTCGTTTCAAGTTTGGGTCTCTCACCGGCGTTTGGGAACAGGTCAGCATTCATGAACATTGCCACGCTGTTAACCATTTCTTGTTTGAGATGACTAGTTTCAGATTTGTGCAGTGTGCGTGGAACAGGTTGATTACTTGTTGAATCACTGACATTGAAAGCTTGCATGAGACAACCAGTTAGCACATTGTTTTTCTCTATCGCGTTTGGATGAAAGTGAAAACTATTTGATGGAAATGAAAACTGCAAACTCTTCATGTGGTAGCTAGTGTTTATCTCATGTCTGCCTGACGTGTCTGGAGCATTCTGAGCATTTGTTGAATAATTTCTTTGCATAATTTGCTCGTGATGACTTGGTTCAGATTCGGCTCCGTCTGCTGCACTCGGAGCAGTGCATCTAAAAGGTCGTTCATCTTCCGTTAAGTTCATGTCTAAAGTTCGTATGTGGCAACCATTTTCCAACTCGGTTTTGTTTGGTGAACTAAGAGTAAGCTGTTCAATTACTGAGCAATCATCTTGCGAAGTGTTCTTGTGGAAAATACTTCCTATCGATTGTCTGTCTGGTGCATCTGAACCTTCCTGAATTCTTGCTCTGAAATCAATTCTTTGCAAAATTTGTTCGTGATGACTCGTGTCCATTCTTCGTACACCTACGGCATAAACTTCTGAATGATAACTTTCCTTTTCTTCAGGCGAATTACGAATACTTACGAAGTCTTCGGGGGAAGGACCCTCAGGAACACGTTTTTTACGCCTCGCATGTCGGATAGGCACTAACTCGGGCATTTTATGAGCGTGTATAGGTAGTTTATGAACCACCTGAGATGGACTGCGGTTATTTGCAAGTCCATTGCTAAGATTTTCAGGTGAATCCTGAACTTGTAAATACGGCTCAGATGCTTGTATTGATGGTTTGTTAGCATCTACCGATGTTATAGATACTTCTGTTGGTTGTGCAGGAATGCATGGTGACGGGGGTGTATACGCAGCTGTCACACAAGTATCTGTTAATGGTGTCAAAACAGGTGTATATTGTGGAACATTCAGTTGTACCGTAATTGCAGGCGGTGTAGAAACAGCAGCTTGCAATGTAGAATCATTCACATTATCTGCCTCTGGTGTAGATGGTGTTAAAACATTCACTAGCTTGTTTACCTCTGGTGTAGGAGTTAAACCACCTGCAGAGGAAGTACAATCACCTGCAGGTGGTGTACTTATTTCAGGTGTCTTGCAATTATTTTTTGCTTTTGATTTATATCCAGTTGAGTATTTTTCATATCCTGATGTTTCGGGATCCCTCTTAGGTGGTGCTGCACGAACGATGAATCTAGGAGGTTTTTTAGTTCGAAAAATGCCAGATTGTATAGTAGCATCTACAGAGTGAGAAGAGACACCTCGAACCAAACCCAATTCCGAGTTATCTGATAAGAATTCAGGTGATGTAGGGGCTTCTTCACTCAGTTCCGTTTGCGTGTTCTCTGATACGTTGTTTTCGAAGTGTGTGTTCTCGCCGCTTCGTTTATAAACATGAGAGAAAGAACGGGATAATGCATCTTCTGTATCCCTACATTTATCCGTTTCTTTTTCATGGTTTTCTGGTGTGGGGGGATCGCTATCAGGTGGTGTTAAACGATCATTTACACACGCGTCTAACATACTTGCATTTTGGAAACTGTTGAATTGTGGAGGAGCTTCTGGGGACGGAAAGGAGCCACACTGAGGTATACCTATTTCTACGTTACCTGATGAGATGTTTGGTGATTGAGTTCTATCATCCTTTTCTCTTTGCGAGTTATCATTTAAGTTGTAATTGGTGTGCAAATTCCGGTCAGCCTGTTTATGAACGAGAGAGGAAGAATAGAGAATTGTGTTATTTTCGAATTCGCAATATTTACCTATTTCTTTTTCGTTATTTGCTCGTGTTGCTGGATTATTTGCAGGTGTTACACAATCGCTTACTGTGAGTGCACTGCGAGTTTCTTCAATAATTTCTCTTTGCGTGTTCTCGGTTTGGATGTCGACAGCGTTGTGCTCACCCTGTTTATTAACGGGAGAGGTAGGGCGGATTAATGCATTATTTTCTGGGTGTTTACATTTCTCTGTTACTATTTCACGGTATTCTAGTATTGTAGGACCACTATCAGATTCACAACCAACTAGCGTTGGAATACTCTCGGATGGCTTCAGCATGTTTGTAGGTTGAAAACTGCCATCGAGTTCAGTAACATCTGTGTGGGTTTCTCTGTCCATTTCTCTCTGCATATTATCTGTGAAGCTGTTTTCGGAATCCGAATTCCGGTCAACCTGTTTATAAACGGAAGATGAAGAACCGAGCTGTGCAATATTTTCTGATTCATCACAGTAATTCATTTCTTTTTCTTGGTCTGTGCTCGAGGAGGAACTTCGCGGTGAGACTATAGCGTCCTCCACATCATTACATTCATCATCCTCAAGGAGGTCAATAAACCTGACCGAAGCGCCGGTCTTAGCGTTGACTCTTGTGCTGCTGTGTGGAGCAGATGCAGGAGGACGAGTATTACCTCCGTTGTCTTCCTCTGCAGCTGACGTCTTCAAGTAAGATAAGAAAGTTTCTGTTGAGATAAGTGTGTGGCCTCCAACCATTGTGGTGTGTTCCAGGTTCTCACTTACAGACGAGGGAGTGGAAGTGATGCCAGTGCTCGTCTGGGGATGAAGTTGCGTGTGGTTTACGTCAGTCTTTCCTGGCAAAGGATCCATTTGGCTTTGAGGATTAGCGTTGAGGTGATTCGGAGGAGTATTTTCGTCCTGGGGAGTAATGTTGTTCTTAGGAGAACCAGCACCGTTAGCGTTACCTTTGGAACAAGATTCGTTTGCCTTTTCCAGGTTCTTGTAATGCAGCAGTCGACGACTGGCTTGCCAATGCTGTTCTGAACTACCACCTACGCCTTGATGATTATGGAGTTGTTGATTCGTCTGTTGTGGCAGTTCTTTTTCTTCCTCTGTTCTGTGCACCTGCTGAGTTTTGGAATGACTGAACTGTGTTAGCCAGTCCTTTATAAAGTCCCGATGCTGGCTTCGTTTTCTGTATGCCTTCATAATCATAGTATGCTTTTCCGTTTGTGACATTTGATGTTCTTCTCCCATTTGTACTTGATGTCGGCCGTTGTATTGCAGGTCTGGGTCATATTGCTTCTGCCCATTTTGTTGGTACATTTGCGCATAATACTGTTGCATGCGGTTAATTTGGTTCTGACCCTGATTTTGTTGTTTGTATACCTGCATTTGTGACTGGTACTGTCTGTGGTTTTCTTCTCTTTTTACTTGATTTTGACAGTGGTATTGCAAGCCTCTTCCATTTTGCCGATACATTTGCATAGCATCCTGAGACATGTGCTGCATTCCCTGTCTAGAAAACTGATGCATCTGGTGTGGAAGCCGTGACTGATGGGATTCTTCCCTTCCTGCTTCGTGTGCTTGTTGACCAGCATTTCCGAAGTGCTGACTGTAATTTGAATGGTGTATATGTAAACTAGACCTGTAATCATGTCCATAGCTATGATGAGCATTCCTGTGGCGAGGATGAGGTACCCGGGAATGCTGAAGTTGCATTTGTCTCCTCCACTCGTTATGCTGTGAGGATACATTGTGACTTGAGTCGAACCTCTGCTGTTTTTCCTGCTGTGTTGACGGAAGGGTATGTTGTGGTGAAAGATGATTTGTGGCATAACCAGAGGGAGAAAAATATCCTGTGAAATTTAGATTGTCTTGTGATCCAACCGGAGGAATCCTTTGTTGCCCATAGGACGCCATAGTATGCATCGCTTGCTCTGTGGGGTTCCTCTGAGGTACTATGAGCGTTGGTTGTTTTTCCTGCTGTGTTGATGGAGATGCATGTTGTGAGGAAATATGATCTGTGGCATACCCAGAGGGAGATCTAACTGGAAAAATCCTTTGTTGCATATAGGACGCCTTAGTATGCATCACTTGCTCTGTGTGGTTCGTGTGAGGTACTGTGAGGCTTGGCGTTGTTCCATGCACGTCTGTGGAAAGATCTGGTGCCATTTGCCCTGACACCGAGGATTGTGTGTCGACGCAAGGAATACATCTTTCATTCCGAGCTTGGTTTGTTCCCTGAGATGGCAATTTCTTACGAAAAGTTGACAGTCTTTTAAGCTTCGGTAGTGGCGGCAGTGTCTCGGCTTGGCCCGTTGGTAGACAAGGGGAAGGGGCCATCTTGCAGCGGGGGCGATTTGGTGCAGTTCTGATGGGAAGAGAGAAATGTTGCATAAATATTGGTTTTGAGAGAATCTGCGGAAATTTATTGGATGGAAATATGATAGCGATTGATTGTGGTTTAGTAAATGTACTATGACTTAGGTGAATAGCTACAATAACTAAAATCGTGGTAATATGACGTGGTAATATGGTGTGCGTGTGTGTGTGTGTGTCCGTGTGTGTGTGTGTGTGTGTGTGTGTGTGCGCGTGTGTGTGTGCGTGTGTGTGCGTGTACGTGTGCGTGCGCGTGCGTCTGAATGTGTAGAAAGGCAGGAATACAGGTAGGGAGGGAGGGGGGAGGTAGAGGGAGAAAGAGAGCGAGAGAGGGGGAGGATATCACGATTGCAAATATTTATATCAGTTCCGTTTCATATCATACATATTTATGCGCATCGTATGATTAATGGAATTTAATAATTACTGCACTAGATACACCCGCTATGTACAACCGCTCCGCATCTATCAAACGCACACCCGTGAATTCCCAACAAACAAAAAATACACGAACACCACAGACACAACATCTGCCACAACATCTCATGGTATCAACAAATCACGTAATCACGTAAAAATAACAATGATAAAGAAAAATAACAATCATAACAACAATAATAGCACTTAATATAAACAAAAAAGACCCCTCGCTTCACAAACCCTGGATTTATGATGTGTTACTATTTGACGAATGGGCTGACCAAGCATGCTAAACCAACACTATCACCTGTCACATGACAGGGAGGGAAAGAGAGGGAGAGGGAGTGAGGGAGGGAGGGAAGAAGAGGGAAAGAGAGGGAGGAAGGGAAGGAGAGGGAAAGAGAGGGAGAAAGGGAAGGGAAGGGGAGGGAGGGAGAGAGAGGGAGGGAGGGTGGGAAGGTGAGGGAGAGAGAGGGATGAGGGGAAGGGAGGGAAGGAAGGAGAGGGGAAGAGAGGGAGAGAGGGAGAGAGGGAGGGAGAGAGGAGAGAGAGAGAGAGAGAGAGAGAGAGAGAGAGAGAGAGAGAGAGAGAGAGAGAGAGAGAGAGAGAGAGAGAGAGAGAGAGGGAGGGATGGAAGGGGAGAGAGGGAGGCAGGGAAGGAGAGGGAGTGGGCAGGGAAAGAGAGGGAGAGGAAGGAAGGAGGGAAGGAGAAGAAGATGAAGGAAGGAGGGAAGGAGAGGGGGATGAAGGAAGGAGGGAAGGAGAGGGAGATGAAGGAGGGAAGGAGGTGAGGGAGAGGGATGGGAAGGGAGAGGGAAGGAGGAGAGGGAGAGGTATAGTGACCTGTTCTCGCCTCACATAGCAGAAAAGCCATGTGTTTCAAATTTCACAGTAACTCCACTGTCCTCACCCGACTCCAACAGGTCTACAGCGTGACAATGACGTAGTGAACTTAGACCATGTTATTTTCAACCCCTATTGCTCGTAAACAATTCCCACGCTGCTATTCTGATGTCTTTGTGTATAATTATGTCTTGTTTATACTCAAAATGTTCGTTAGAAAATGCTTATTGTGGATCACTAAGTATGTTTCCGCTATTATTATCGATATTCAAATGTATTTGTTTTTATAAATACTCAGCATTTCTGTCTCCTTATCACGAAGCTTTTAGTCTTGTAAACACCATGACTCTCTTCTTACACACAACAGATACCCTTGTTCCTTCACTACGAGAGCACTATGTGACCATATTTATCGGGATTTATGGTCATTCAAATTATTTCATGTTTTCCATTATGAAAGGTTGTTCATAGAAAATTACTGAACAGGACGCTGCTCCTCCCTGAGCGCCTTTGTCTTGTCCATCCTCTATACACCACCTACCATACTCCCGTGCTAATAAAGTCTAGAAGCAGCGACAACTTTAACTCAACACACCCAAGAATCAAAGCAGTACCATTCAAGTGGGGACACGTCCTCCTCCCCTTATTATTAGAAGAGGGTGGGAAGGGGAGGGGGTAGGGAGGGAGGGAAGGGGAAGCGAAAAGGAAAGAGGAGAAGCAGAGAAGGAGAGGGAGAGGGAGAGAGAGGGAGAGGGAGAGGGAGAGGGAGAGGAGAGGGAGAGGGAGGAGAGAGAGGGAGAGGGGAGAGAGAGGGGGGAGGGGAGAGGGGGAGAGAGAGAGAGAAGCAAAGGGAGTGGGAGAAATATAACGAGTGGGAAAGATCAAAATAGAGTGAGACTGACAGGGCGAGGGAGAATGGTAGAGAAGAAAAGAGGGAGAGGGGGAGTGAAGGAAAGAGGAAGACGGGGAGTGAAGGAAAAGGGGAGAGGGAGAGATACTTTCCAAGGACGAGAGCGTCGAAATTGACAAAGTGTGTGGTTAAATAGTTATCTCAGTAACAACCGTCGCATGTCGGTCTGTTTGCGGCAACTACGACTGCACTGTTACTGGTTTTATTCGATTAACCTATTAATCCGTCCATCTATAAATATTAGTCTATTTCTCTATTAATATATTAAACTTAATTGATTTAGATATTGATTTTATTTATGTCAATTGATATATTAATTTATCTAATCTATATATCCATCAATCTATTTATGTCAATCTGTTTACCTATTTATTTATTTATCAATCTATTTATGTCAATCTGTTTACATTTATTTATCAATCTATTTACTTATTCCTTTATGTATCAATCTATATATCTACTCTTTTACTTATATTTTTTAATAAAATACGTTTTTGGACTGAAGTGCCTCCTCAAACAATCCAAATTAGATACGAATTTCCTGGCATTTCCGTCACATTACGAATTCATTAAGCTGCTAACGTGTGTGGTGTGTTTGGGGGACTGACAGTAGTGTTGCCATTCTAGCGATTTTCCCACTCGATTTAGCCATGAGTTATGTATGGTATAGCGATATTAAAAAAAAGTTTACTCTATATTTTGCGAGTGTTTATCAGAGGTCAGTGGTGGAAGGTTAGAGGAAATGAGATACTATACAGATTATTTTGACAGATGCTAGAATTTCGCACTATTCATCAACAAAAATAGTAATAATAATAATAACAATAATAATAATAACGATAGTTCTGATAATAATAATGTAATTATACAATAACAATAATGATAAAACAACAACACTAATGATAATGATAATAATAATAAAAATAATAATAATAATAATAATAATAACAATAATAACAATAATAACAATAATAACAATAATAACAATAATAACAATAATAACAATAATAATAATAACAATAATAACAATAATAATAATAACAATAATAACAATAATAACAATAATAACAATAATAACAATAATAACAATAATAACAATAATAACAATAACAACAATAATAACAATAATAACAATAATAACAATAATAATAATAATAATAATAATAACGATAATGATAATAATACTAATTCTAATGTATGCATGCAATGTGTGTATGTGTAAGGCCTAAGGCACATCTTCCCAGAAAACGCTCTTTGCTATCTTACCAGGGTTCATGTTATTACCCACACAACAGATAAACAGACCTCCCATTCGACACATGGGCTGGCACCACACCCTCTACTTCTGCTCTATATATGATAATATCAACTTTGTAAGGGTTATATAAACACCTCTTAAACATTGGTGACAGGGAAGTAGTAAAAGCTTGGTGGCTAAAAACTCTTTTATTGATAGATCCCAGCCCAGGTCAGACGTGACCTAGACCGCACCAAGCACACTCTCACTGACCGGTCGAAACGTGGCCCTTAAGTATCCGAGACGCTAGCTTGGGGGGGCGAGGAGAACCGCCCCTCCGCTGGGGCACGCCGCATTGGGTAGCCAGGGCGTGGTGCCACGTGATCACTGTAAGCCTCCACGTGGGGGCCACGCGGGTATATAATACCGTTATAACACAGTATAAACTTAATACAATAACACTAGCTCCTATATACCAAGCATGCAACACAATAGCAAATGAGGCATAGGCCTTACAACATGTATGTATGCAATATATGTATGTAAGCAAAATACTTATGTATACAATGTATCATGTGTGTATCTATGTAATATATCATGTATGTAGTATGTGGTGTGTGCCTATTATTCACTGCCTGCTCTCTTCCCGTTCTTCCGTTTCTGATTATATTTGTATACATCTGTATACATGTCTGTAGCATTTTATTTTATGGTGCGTATGTTTCTGTCGCTATAATAAACTAAATTTTTGGGTTATCGTGTATCAGACACCTGAATAAAATACATACACACACATAAATATGCGTGTGTATTTATATATATGTGTGTGTGTGTGTACAAATCATAACAATATCATAATCATAACTGTGATAATCACAGTTAGATTACTATAGCACTAATAATCATCATAACAACCCTAGTTAATATCGTAATTATATCTATAACTAATTATCATAAAAATAACCATATTACCATAATATAATAATTATAATAACCACAATAATCATCATAATGATAACCATAATAATTTTCATAATGATAACCATAATAATTTTCATAATGATAACCATAATAATTTTCATAATGATAACCATAATGATTTTCATAATGATAATAACCACAATAATTTTCATAATGAAAACAATTATTATAATCATAACAATTATAATTGTAATCATAATTATTATAATTCATATGATTACATAATAATGTAGTCAATGATATAATAATGATTAATATATGCTGGTAAATAAAAAAAAAACTCTAGATATGATAAATAAACTCATATCTAGAGTTTATTCCAACTTTCCCGAGTCCCTCCCTAGTAACCAATGCAGGGTAATTGGCACTTACTCGTTATAACTGCAAGTAACAGAATCAGGTCAGATTAAAAGGCTTATACATATATCCAGAAATGGGGGAACGATTGACTCACGTTCTTTAACTTTATAGCAAGGTTATTCCAAGGTATTTTTTTTTACCAAAATAATAACTAAAACAATTATCATTACGCCGTAGGTTATCATAATAACCATCATAACAATTACCATAAACACTATAACAGTTAATATATTTACCAACG